TATGACAACATATTATAGATGGCTACTTATTTATTTACACCATCACTATGCTGGAAGAAGAAAATCGTGGAAAGAAACTAGCCAGCTCAACGTGCATTTCGTCATGGAAAGAAGTGGCATAGTGAAATAAAAAAGCCTTGATTTCAGAGTCTGAAAATTGAATCATGTTCCTACCTTTTTCTCTTGATAACATTATATCTTGAGCACTTAGTTTTGTGATCTTTACGTTGGGTATAATCCTGTCCACTTTACCCATACCTCAAGATTGTTAGAAACTTCAAACATAATAAAGTATGAAAAAAAACATGTGTGCTGTGCAGTATTATTTTGCTGTTTGGGTGATATGTGCTCAGCTCTTGCCACAAAACTATTTTTTTCCCTCTTCTGGCTCTCAATCATTGACTATCTTGAAATATCCTGAATTCCCACCCTGCTGTTTATCAGGGATTCAGTCTGTCACATTGCAGAAGGAAAAAGAAAAAGATATAGTTAGGCCAGTATTCCCAAGAGAATGAATTAGTAAAATCAAAAGAGAGAATAGAAAAGAAAAAGCAAAAGATGAGTTAGTTTGCGGTTGATTTGCAATATTTTGTTCCGCCCTAGAAAATTTAGAAAGAATCCTTAAAATTGAGTGATAGTATTTTGGTTTATTCTTAAATGTGGTAAGACTTTAAAGATGTAATATTCTGTGAAAAAATATATCTGCATGTTTAGCAGTGACCAGCCTGCCCTGGTTGTTAATCGTTCATCTTATTCTTTAGGTCCGTCAGTACCATCAGATTGTAAGCTATTTAACAAACTAGAGAGAACCATCTTTGCTCTTCCACATTCTTTTCATTAATGTTTTTAAATCTTCCTCTCTACAGGACTTTGCTTCACGAGCTAAACTGGCAGTTCAGAGACTTGTACAGAAGGTTGGGTTTTTTGGAATACTGGCCTGTGCTTCTGTAAGTGGATTGTATTAAAAAATGAGAAATTTCAGTAAATGGTGGGGTTATATTTTGATCAGTTCGTTTTTACAGGGATATTGCCAAATGGACCAAAGTGCTAACATTTGTTGGGTGTAAATCTTGTTAATTGGACTTACTCAGCTATCCTCTTTCCAGTAGGTTCAGAAACTTGCTTACTGATTTTTAAATACTTCATCACACAGTGATGACTTCAGACCTAAAAGACTTGATTCAGTCAGAGCAAAAGAAACAGAATTAATTCTTCCTATGAAGAATTTAGAATTAAGAACATTTAACCACATAATGATGATCTCATTCTTTCCTCAAAGTTGTAGATAGGAAATCTTTTCACATTTTCAAGTATTGGTTACAAGGAAAAATTCATGAGTGGGGTATGGTGGTACACCCCGTAATCCCAGCACTAAGGCTGAGGCAGGAAGATCACAAGTTCAAGCGTAGCCTATACAATTGAACAAAAATCTTTCTTAAAATTAAAAAAAAAAAAGTATAGCTCAGTGTGAAGGCTTTGGGTTCATTCCCCCAGTACTGAAAAAGAAAAAAAAGGATGAATTCATACAACCTGTCTTAAGGATCTTAACTCCTTCCTGGCTAGACAGTGAAAATGTCTGTGCCAAAGTTAAGGATATCTTCAGCTACCATGAACTAAAAAGCTATTGTTTTTTTTTGTTTTTTTTTTTTTTTTTAGTCTAAAACTTAGTATCTTAATTGTCTTAAATCTGAGACTTGTGAAATTGACATTCCTTTGTAAGTTGACATTTATCCCGATGAAGTAGCTGTTTCTAAGATGGAAGACTTTCATCAGAATTTTCTTTGGTAGCCTGTATGTAGTTTTTGGTAGTTCATTGGTAGATTTAGCCAGAGTAACTAGGCATCTGGTTGATATAAGCTATGATTATAAATTCACAGAGCTATTTTCTGCTGACTTACAGCTATTTTATAATATATTAGAATATGAACTGGGTATGGTGGCATACAACTGTAATCCCAGTACTCAGGGGGCTGAGACAGGAGGATCTCTGTGTGTTTAAAATCGGCCTGAGTTACATAGTGAGTGTAAGGCCAGCCTGAGCTATATAGCAAGACCCTGTCTCCAAAAAAAATTAATTAAATAAAAGAAATAAATTTATTTTTGTTTTGTGACAGAGTCTCACTTAATTGCCAAGGCTTGACTTTGCAATCCTCCTGCCTCAGCCCTCCAAAGTGCTGAGATTTTCAGTTTGTGCCCCCCACGCCTGGTTCCAACTTCTAATTTTAAAAAATGGAGCAGTAAAACACTCATTACAAAGGCTGATATGAAGATTTAAGAAAATATATGTGAAATAGTTAATGCAATGCCTTGCACAAAAATTCTCAACTGTCTTTTGTTGTGATATTTTGGGAGGAAGGAAATAAAAGCTGAGCTAGGAAAATAGTGCAGTGCTAGGGCAGTCACCTAGCATGTGATTCAGTCTCTAGCACTGAAAAAGAAAGAAAGGAAAAAGAAGGAAAAGGTTTATTTTCTCTCCTCAAAAATCCTGTAATATAATGAGACTCTTGAAATGCAGAGATTTCTGAGCCGAGGATTTAGCTCAGTGGTTTTTGGCACCTGCCTCGCAAGCACAAGGACCCAAGTTTGATCCCCAGTACCAAAAAAAGAAATGCAGAGATTTGTAAAAGTACTACCGAGCCCGGAAAAATAAGATTAGGCTGAGATCCCTTTTGGGTCATAATGGCCTGCACTTAGAGAGCAGGAGAACAAAATTGGAACCACACTGCTTGGTTCAATCTTGCCCTGCTGCCTGTGACCCAGGACAGATTGCTTAACCTGTCTCGGCACTTTCACCTGTAAGATGGCCATCACAGTATCGTAGAGTGTAGTGGCTAATGATACACAGCCCTCCCAATGGTACCAAACGAGTCAGAGCACTGAGTAAAAGATAGCTCTCAACATTCCTGAGGAAAATGCAAAGACTTTTGGGTGTTTGTTTGTTTGGGTTTTTTAGACAGGGTTTTGCTTTGTAGTTCAAGCTGACCCTGAACTCACTATGTAGCCCAGGCTGTCCTTGAACTTGTGGCAATCTTCCTGTCTCAGCCTCCCAAGCGTTGGGATTACAGGTGTGCACCACCACGCCTGGCTATGGACCTTTGGTTTTTTGAAGCAGAAAGTATTTATTCTTTAGCATTCAAGTATGCCTTTATCTTTTTTTTTTTGGTACTGGGGAGTGAACTCGGTCCTTGCACTTGCAAGGCAGGCCACCGAACTGCTGAGCTAAATCCCTGGCCCGAGTATGCCTATGTCTTAACTGCTAGAAATCCACTTCCTATTTGTACTGACCAGTTTTATTTGGTTATGTATGGTTATTATTTGACATATGAAGATCAATTTGGCCCTCCAGGGTTTTTTTCTAGTCCATCTTTAATACTTGTACAGTATGTCTATAGACTTGACTTAAGGCTAAAAGAAGTTTATTAATTAATTATTGTCATCATTTAAGCTAAAACTCCTAGTTGCTAGTTGAGAAATTTCACAGTAACTGCATAATTCTTTTTATGTTAATCTTCCTTTCAGTTTATTTAGTTAGCATTTGCAAAAAAAAAAAGAATTGCATGCATATCTAATAACACATTCATTATGTTCTTGTTGAGTGTAAACAACACAGAATGAGGTCTCCAACAGGTTAAATTCTAATTTTCATCTGTTTCGATTTTACATGTGTCATGCTGTTTAAATTCATTTGTTTCAGCATAAATTAGAGTTTAAGAATAAAAGGGAAAAGTAAGAATTCATAGGGTTGTGAGAGCAACATGAGAAAATATTAGACACAGCACATATAATGCTGTACATACTTCAGCAAGGTTGTAAGAGATGAAATTGGATAAAGCATTTGAATTTAGACAAGAAAAACAAAAATGAGTTACTGAATCCAAGTATTACTAACAAAAGAATATTTGAATTCTGATTTAGTTATGGCATTGCTTTTAAGAGACCATATGTGACAAATAACTTTTAAACAACTAGGGTCTTCTTTCAGAATTTAAAAATGAAATTACATAAATTAATTGGTTTATAAATGCTTAAGCCAACAGCCACAAGAGCATAGTACTTCTGTGAGAGAAAAACAGATGAAGTGCTTAAAAAGAACTTGTGGTTTCTTTGCATTTTTACATGAAATTGTCTTTTAACATTCTTGAAATGTGGGAATGTTTGAGAAAGGTATTTATTGTGAATCACTTCTCTGTCTGGGACTGAGTATTCAAAACATACTTGTAATCTGTATGCTTTCGTATTTCCACACTCAATTTTCTTTCTAAAATATATCACATGGTGCCATAACCTTGAGCTCTTTTAGAATAAAAAACAATGAATCTTTTAATGTCAAGAATAAAAACACATTTACCTATAAATGTATTTGGAATGCTTGCTAAAGATGTGAACACTTCTAGATAATAATTCCTATCTTGCGCTCAAGGGCCAGGGATTTAGCTCAGTGGCACCATGCCTGCCTCACAAGCACAAGGTCCTGAGTTCAATCCCTGGTACCCCAAAAAAAGGACAGGTTGATTTGCTGTGAACATATTGGAGATCAGCCTGAGATGTCCAAGACACAAGTTACAGATGCACTCGAATACTTGCCCACCTTCTGAACAGGGTGCTACACTGACCCAGGAACCCATACCTTGTTTTGCAGTGTAAGCAGGCTTAGAGCAGAACACATACAAATGGGTGATCAAAGTGTTCTTCAGAATATACATGAAAAATTGTCCTTTGGATTATATATGAAGTCTTTTCTTCTGTCTTTCTCAATAGATTCCAAATCCTCTATTTGATCTTGCTGGAATAACATGTGGACATTTTCTTGTACCTTTTTGGACCTTCTTTGGTGCAACCCTGATTGGAAAAGCAATAATTAAAATGCATATCCAGGTAATTATACCCCTCACGCTCCTTGCCTACAGCTGATGGACACGTTTTAAGACACTAAAACATTGTCTTGTTCCTAAGCAAATTAAGTTGCTGGCTCTGCTTCTTTGGTTTGTAGCTTACTTAGATTATAAAGTATGCAAAAAATGTCATTTGGAAGTTATTGAATCTCCTTGTTTTCTCTCTTCCCTCCTTTTTTTTTTCTTTCTCTCTCTCTCTCTCTCTCTCTCTCTCTCTGTGAAACTATTTTTCCAAGACTTTCAACAAACAAGAGTAGTATTCCTGTGTAGCAAAGTGCACATCATTTAAATATACACCATCCAAAAAATGTGATTTCTCTCCTGACCACAACCTCAGAGAATGTAGCCTTTCACTACTTCTTATTTTCTCACACATACTCTGTATAGCGCTTCCCCTCATGGCACCAATAACCTTTACTGAAAGCCAGCCAGATGTTGCTGTGAGAGAGGACGGGGAAGAAAGGGGTCACCGGAGAGGCAAGGAAATGTGAGTCGGGGGAAGAGAAGTGAGAATCTGCTAGTCTTTGAAGCTGTTCTTAGCAAAAATTTTAGGACACACTCGTGTACACGCAAATGTGAAAGTAAAGAGCCTATGAACTTAAATGAGGGGGAAATGCACATGTGTTTCTAAACTGTGATGTGACTTCTTTTCTTCTAGGGGAAGTCTCACTAGAATAAAATAAAAATTAACCTGGAAAGAATGTTTTTAATGAGTATAGCTTACAGCAAAGGAGATATTTACCAAAAGAAAAGCAAGAAGAGTGAAGTAATGTCTCTGGCCTTATATGATTCTGTAATTAAAAATACATGGCCAGAGGGCCTAGGATTTAGCTCAGTGATGCTGCTGCCTGCCTCATAAGTGGAAGGTCCTGAGTTTGAGCCCTGGTGGGAAAAAAAAATTAGATAGAAAGATAGAGAGTGGCCAGGGATGTAGCTCAGTGACACAGCACCTGCTTGGCAGGCGCTGAGTTCAGTTTCCAGTATTGAAAAATAATTTTTCTTACTAATAAATAAATAGTTAGATGGGTTGGGTATGTGGCTCAGTGGCACAGCACCTGCCTACCAAGCTCAAGGCGAGAGAGGGAGAGGGGAAGGGGAGGGAGGGAAAGAAAAGAAAAATGTAGTGCAGTGCTAAAGTGTGCTCTTAGCCTGTGTGAGGCCCCAAGCACAAAAAACAAACCTCTATCCCCAGTAATTCCTCCCAGTACCTCTGCACCTCTCATTCTTGGAAGAGTGAGACAGGAAAACTTCATCTGCTGCTACCTCCCCACTTTCTTAGATAGTGGCATTTGGGAAGAGATTATTGAGTCTGTCTTCTATTCTCTTGACATCATAACTGCTCAAAATTTCAAATATACATTTTTCCTCCTTCAAGGAATAGTCTTCCCACTTACATTAACTATTTTATTCAGTGAACACAAGATTTTTTTTTTTTTTTTTTGGGT